CATGCCTAAGATGGAACTAGAACTCACACTTTCCTGAGGATTGGTCCAACATCACCCAGTAGCTTTCATGCCTAAGATGGAACTAGAACTCACAGTCTCCTGGTGACTGGTCCAAGTCACTCGGTCGGCTTTCGTGCCTAAGGTGGGAGTAAAACCTACAGCCTCCTGGTGATTGGCCCAAAGTTGCCCAGCCACCTTTCATGCTTAAGGCGGGATTAGAACTCACTGGCTCCTGGTGATTGGCCCAAAGTCGCCCAGCCAGCTTTCCTGCCTAAGGCAGGATTGAAACTCAGGATCTCAGCTTCTAGCCTGGTGCTTTAATCACCTACATAGCTAGAGCAGAGCTCACTATACCTGTTGTACAAGGTAGGGAAGGGCATCACTACATAAAGCCCAAGGGAAAGAACCAGGCTATGCCAAGGCTGGTCTTTTGTGAACTTTCCCAGTTCTGCATATTAAATATGCCAAACTGACTTCTTTTTGGGGGTGGGGGGTGGGGGGGGAGGGTTGCCCAACAGTTTCATTCAGAGGAATGACGTCTCCTGAACACACCCCAGAAAGCATGGATTGGTATGAGCCAGAGAATGAACGAATGAAACATTCTGGAGAATATTAGGGTTTTGACACACCTGGTAAGAACTATAAATGAAAAGTTTAATTGAAGGGCACCAGGCCAGGCAAAAAGCTGACCATTATTTCCAACTATCCATTAAAATCAGAATGACAATCCTGCAGCAGTGGCACCATTTTTGTCAACGGAGATCGTGTGTACGGCATCACGCAAACGATCCGATTCATGTCATGACGCCTTTATGCGAAGGGCATAAAATTGCTTGCCCAAATTCGGTACGTGGTACTCAAAGCGTCTTATACTGAAGTCGGGTAAGGTGCGGTTTCACTGAAATAAATTTCCTACTGAAACTTTTGTTTACTACAATTACTCAGGAACGAGGGAGCAGGTTACAGGTACTCCTCAACTTACGACCACAACGGAGAACAGAATTTCTATCGCTAAACAAGTGACTTGTGGATAGCAGGGGTCTCCAACCTTGGCAACTTTAAGCCTGGCGGACTTCAACTCCCAGAATTCCTCAGCCAGCAAAGCAAAGCTGGTTAGGGAATTCTGGGAGTTGAAGTCCTCCAGGCTTAAAGTTGCCACGGTTGGAGACCCCTGCTGTAGCACAACCTCCTTCTGCTCTGGGCTAAACTTCAGTTCAGGAGAAACTTCCTAATAGCGAGAACAATTAACCAGCGGAACATCTTGCTTTCAAAAATTGAAGGTGATAGTTTTTAAGAAAAGAAAGGACAGCCACTTGTCTGAAATAGTATAGGGTCCCCTGCTTGAGCAGGGGGTTGGACTAGAAGACCTCCAAGGTCTCTTCCAGCTCTATTCTGACTTTCTTTCAGTACATTCTCTCTCGTTTGGTATAACTCTCTATCCCACAACAAAGCTATAAGGCAAGGGTCTTCCAACTTGACAGCCTCAAGACTTGTGGACTTCAACTCCCAGAGTTCCTGAGCTAACATGACGGAGGAGGAATTCTGGGAGTTGAAGTCCACAAGTCTTCAAGCTGTCAAGTTGGAAGACCCCTGCTATAAAGACACCGTTTCTCAACTTCAGCAACTTTACGACGCCTGGGCTTAAGGCTCCCAAAACTCTTGCTAAGGAATTCTGGGAGTTGAAAGTCCACAGATCTTAAAACTGATGAGATTGAAGGATACCCCTGTAAGAGGCCAGCTGAAGTTTTGTTGAGCTGAAATATTTTGAATTGGATCTTCTCGCAGGCAAAATAGGTTTTTGCCAGTGAGGCCCGATTTTTTTTCAGAATGTTGTTTTCAGGGAATCCAATTTGTCAACTCCAATAGAAACCACTGCATGATTATTGGCCCCAGGATCAATATTTTTTACAAAAGCTGTTGAGAAATCTAGGCTACGGCTCGCTTGAAAATGAAGGTTTTGCACTTTTAACAACAGGAATCATGGACTACAATAAATGTCGATGGAGATTTCTCAGCCATCCAGGTCACGGTTGTCCCAAAAGTAGTTTTTCAAGAGGCAACTGGACTTTGTTTTTTTTCTTTTGAAGACGTTTGGCTTCTCATCCAAGAAGTTTCTTCAGCTCCGACTAGATGGTGGGGAATGTAAGGATTTATACTCCCTTGCAGACAGCTGGTCATTTGCATCCTTTTTAGAGAGTCATTGAGGACACTTGGAGGTTTTATCTATGTGTCATCAAGGTCACCTGAGTGGTGCAAATGGGTGTGGAGCCTTCTGGGCTGCAGGATGTTTTTCTGCCCTGTATCCCTTCCCTGTTGAACACAGGCTGTTGGGGATGATGTTGGGCAAATGGTTCCTGTAGTCTACATTTTTTTCCCCCCTGGAAATCCGTTCATACTCCCAACATTGTTCAAAGGGTGTTTATCCCAAAGCGCACAGTCTGCAAGGAATATAAACCCTTCCATTCCCCACCATCCAGTCAGAGCTGAAGAAGCTTCTTAGATGGGAAGCGAAATGTCTTCAGAAGAAAAAAACAAGAAAAGTCCAGTTGCCTCCTGAAAAAGCACCTTTGGGACAACTACAATAAACGTATTGCTAGGCAATGCTGTGGAGTACCCAACTTCATACTATGTCCACCTGTTTAGGTACCCCTGAACAGTTTCTCCCACCCCAACCTACCTTCACTGGATAGCCTTGTGAAAATTAAGGCAGAATCTCCATGAAACTTATATTGAGCTCAGAACGTTAAATATAAACAGTACAGGTACTTTAGACTTACGACCACAACTGAACCCCACATTTCTGTTGCTGAACGAAACCTTGATTTTTTGCCCCGTTTTGCCACAAGCGTTCAGGGAATCATTGCAGTGGTTAAGTTAGTCACACACTTGTTAAGGGAGGCTGGGTGCCCCCCCCCCCCCCCCCCAGAGTTTGCTTGTCAGAACGTCGCAAAAGTGACCCCAGGACTCTGTAAGCGTTATAAATATGAGTCAATTGGCAAGAATCTGAATTTGGATCACGCGGCCATGGGGAAGGTGCAACGGTCGTAAGTATGAAAAAGTGTCATAAGTCACTTTTTTCAGTGCCGCTGTAATTTTGAACAGTCACTAAATGAACAGTTTTAAGTCAAGAATATCGGTATTAATAGTCTTGTTTTAAAGCTCTGAATCACAACCACTAGAATGAACATATATCTCTATATCTATCTCTATCTATCATCTATCTATCTATCTATCTATCTATCTATCTATCTATCTATCTATCTATCTATCATCTATCTCTATATCTATCTCTATATCTATCTCTATATCTATCTATCTCTCTATCTATCTATCATCTATCTATCTATCTATCTATCTCTATCTATCTCTATATCTCTCTATATCTATCTCTCTATCTATCTCTCTATCTATCATCTATCTATCTATCTATCTATCTATCTATCTATCTATCTATCATCTGATACAAATATCAAAACAACTGAATTTTGCAAGTAAACAATCAAGCTCAGAGAGCACCAAGGACCCCACATTTCAACCCTGAGCTACAAATATTCTCCTTTATTGGTACAACTGTATTTTAAATGATAATCTGACATTTCTAGGGTGTTGGCAACCAGAAGTCCTGAGACCTTCCTAGTTCATCTAATCTCTTAGTATTGATGCTATTGTCAAATTGAACCCCTATTTTAAACTTTCGAGACAGTATTTGTTTCCAAAGCCGGGTCCAAATCATATAAATAAAACAATAAAACAACAGGAAGTGATGATGTAAGGTAAAGGTAAAGGTTGGGAACACGAGACAGGTGGACTAAGTAAACAATACCGTGTTTCCCCGAAAATAAGGTCTGGTCTTATTTTCTTTTGGGCTCCAAAATAAGCACTGGGGCTTATTTTGGGAGGTTGTCTTATTTTTTTCCTCCATGTACTTTTTAAGAGTACATGGGAGGCCCACTTCTGCTGCCCCGCAATGGCTTACCTCAAGGCCACCTATGCCCCAACACCTGCCTTGCCTCGCTTCCCTAAGCCAGTGTGGGGTGTGTGGGGCAGCTCTATCCCCTGCCTTGCCTCGCGACAACACGAACAACCAGACTTAAGTAGGGCTTATTTGGGGAGTAGGGCTTATATTAGGCACACATGTTTTAAAAAAAACCACAGCAGGGCTTATTTTCAGGATAGGTCTTATTTTCGGGGAGGAACACATTAATGGATCTTTTATTGTCCCACCCAGCTGCCTCCCACCCTTTCTTACTGTCTTGCGCTCTCGCTTTGGCGGGACCGGTGGCTGAGGATTCATCATGACTTGGGAAGTTGGGAATTGTTGCACGTTCTGCGCAGGATAATATGCACCAGCTGAAGGAGAAAAGGAGAAATTTGAGTTATTGCAGTCATATCATACAGGTAGTTCCTCAACTTACCACCATAATTGAGCCCCAAATCAAGGTTGCTAAGTGGGAAATTTGTTAAGTGAGTTTTGGCCCCATTTGACGACTTTTCTTGTAACGTTTGCTAAGTAAATCACTGCAGTTGATAAATTAGTAACCTGGTTGTTCAGTGAATCTGGTTTCCCCATTATCTTGGCTTGACAGGGGATCACATGACCAAGGGACATTACACCAGTCATAAATATGAGTCAGTGGCCAAGCAACCAAAGGTAGGCTGGAGTCTCTAGCATCTTTGTACTCTAGCATCAAACTTTATCCAGGTACAGGTAGTCCTCGAGTTATGACCACATAAACATTTGTTAAGTGAGTTTTGCCCCATTTGCTGCTTTTCTTGGCACAGTTGTTAAGTGAATCGTTGCCTTTGTTAAGTTGCTAACATGGTTGTTATGTGAAATCTGGATTCTTCGTGGACTTTGCTTGTCAGAAGGTTGCAAAAGGCGATCACGTGACCCCGGGATACTGCAACTGTCATAAATATGAATCAGTTTCAAAACGTCCAAATTTTGATGGATGTGACGCCAGGGATGCTGCAATGGTCATAAGTGTGAAAAATGGTCACGTCACTTTTTTTTAGTGCCGTTGTAACTTTGAACAGTCGCTATATGAACGGTTGTGTCAAGGACTATCTGTACAAACATGCAAAGTTACCTGTCACGTAATCTACAGGTAATCCTTGACTTATGAGTTCAATCGGGGCCAGAATTTCCATTGCTAAAGCAAGCTTTGAGTCACACCAGATTTCACAACTTTTCACTATCCTTGTTAAGCGAATTACTGTAGTTGCTAAGTGAATTGCGCAGTTGTTGGAAGTTGACTGGGAAGGTTGCCCATGGATATCACATGACCCCAGGATGCCGCAAATGTTGAAATACCGCATTTCCCCGAAAATAAGAACGGGTCTTATATTAAATTTTGCTCCAAAAGACGCATTAGTGCTTATTTTCCTATTAGGCCTTACTTTGGGGAAGATACAGTACTAAATGCATCCATCTGGTTGACGACTTTAACTGGGGCTTAAATTACAAGCATCCAGAAAAATCACGCTAGGGCTTATTTTCTGGTTGGGTCTTATTTTCGGGGAAACAGGGTACAGGGCAGTTGCCAGCACCTGGATTTTGATCAGGGGATCGTTGGGAGGCTGCAATGGTCATTAAGTGGGAAGTCTGATCACGTCACTTTTTTTCAGTCCTGTTGTAATGGTCATTAAAACCAATTTTGTAACCTATAAGGCAAACCACTGTTTGTTCGGCCTCCCATACAAGAGAAAGCAATTCTCTCAAAAATGTCTTTTCTTTTGGTGGCTAAAGTCTCTCCATGTTGCCAAATTTCACATGATCTTAGGCAAGCATGCCCAAATCATACATGACTTTGAGGTGAGGACAAAAAGGCAACCTCTTTCAGCTATTTTGAAACAAATGTGAAGAGAAACAAATAGAAACACACCTATAGCGTGGTGCAAAATTGTGGGATTATGCCTGGATAAGTTGGCAACTCTTGCCCTATACACATACACACCAGATACCCCTTCCTCAAGCAATCCTGGCTTATAAATTATGGAGGTTCCTTGCAGAGAAGAGGTTTTGGCATCGGTTAGGAATGTCAAAAACCTGACCCAACTAGCCCAAACAAAGAATGTCTCGGCGTTCTTCCTGCCTGGTGTTGAGCATCCCGAAGCCACCCCACTTCGCCAAATGGGGAACCCCTAATTTGAAGCTGCCACACCCTGCCCCAACTCAGATCAAGATATTCTTCACAGAAAAGTGGGATGATGTTTAAATTCGCAAACGTATTTGGAGACAAGGAGGAAGAATAAAAAGCAGGTAGTCCTCGAACCTATGGACACAACTGAGCCCAACATTTCTGTTGCTAAACCAGACACTTTTGAAGTAAATTCTGCCCCCTTTTTTTGCCACCATTGTTAAGCAAATCACCAGTTGTCAAGTTAGTAACACGGTTGTTAAGGGAGGTAGGCTTTGCCATTGACTTTTGCTTGCCAGGTCAGAAAAAGAGGATCACGTGACCCCAGGATGCTGCAAGAGTCATAAATACAAGATGGTTGCCAAACATCTGAATTTTGATCACCTGGCCATGGGGACGCTGCAATGGTTGTTAAGTGTGAAAAATGGCCATTTTAGTAGTGCTGTTGTAACTCTGAAAGGTCACTAAATGAACTTTTGTAAGACGAGGACTGCCTGTATACAATGGCTATCATCTGGAAGGGTGTTTTAGAGGAAACCCTAGGTCACCTGCTCAGCTCGGCATCCACCCAAATAATCAGAGTAGACCCAATTGCTTTTCCAAAATGAAGCCAGCATTAGTTCAGAATCAGAATCGAGCTAGAAGGGGCCTTGGAGGTCTTCTAGTCCAACCCCCTAGCTCAGGCAGGAGACCCTATACCGTTCCAGACAAATGGCTGTCCAGTCTCTTCTTAAAAACCTCCAGTGATAAAGCACCCACAACATCTGGAAGGGGAGACAGTTGTTCCACTGGTTAATTGTTCTCACTATGAGCCATTTTCCCAAGTGTCGTGGTCATTTCCCTTTCCAGGCCTATCGCATTCATCCCACTACAGGTAGTCCTCGGCTTACAACAGTTCATTAGGGAAATTTTGGGCTCAATTGTGGTTGTAAGTCAAGGCCTACATGTACTTTTCTCGGGCGACTGAAACTCTCACTTGCAGATGTTTGCACCCAACCAATGCAGTTGGCTCTAGCCGGCGGCTTCCACCCAGACATCAAGGAAGAGAGGAGAAAAGAAGGGAGTTTGATTCAGAACATTTTAGGCAGGTTAAGTTTCACATTTGAAGACCTACAAGAGAAAAACTCGCTGGAGAAAGCAATTAGGTTGGAAGAGTTAGCGTTAAAAGGAAGCCCAGGCCATCGAAGACCATGGTGGAACATAGAGAAACTCAAAGCAGCAGTGCAAGGTAGGAAGATGTGGAGAGACCTGGCCTTAGAATCACCAAATCAGACACAACTGAATGGATTACACATCCACACCATCAAGAGAAAAATGACAGAACTTGAACAGGAAGCAGCTGTGGGAATGGATGCATTTATTTGCATCCCGGCTTTAATTATTTTTACAAATTATTATTATTACCTTTACCGTCAGAGTACAACTTGTGTACAATGAGATTGGCTGAGACCTCCCTTCGTTGCACACACCCCCAACACAACTCATAGTGAGGACAGAAGTCCCTAACCCTAATAACTCACGGCCATGAACATATCCAAAAACCTCCTGCTATTTTCCCCCACAACGACAACTCTTGAGTGGTGAATTGGGCTGAGAGAGGGAGAATGGCTGGCCCAAAGTCGCCAGTTGGCTTTCATACCTGAGGACTAGAATTCACAGCCTCCTGCCTTCTAGCCTGGTGCCTTAAAACCATTAGACCAAACTGCATGCAAGAACCCGTAACCTGTTCAGAAACCTCAGGGCTTTTAGAAATGTTGGGCTGCAACTCTCACATTCTCACCCATGGGACACGTTGGCTGGGGATGGTGGGCATTGTGATCGAGCCACCGACCTAAATCTTGCCACTGCTTGTCACCTCAAGAGCAACACGATGATCTCTTGGAAGACTTTAGATCTGGAAGGACAGGTCTTTGAAATCAACCAGTCTTCCCCCCTTCGTTAGCTCATTATGAGTTACACAAGCCTCTCTCTATAATAATACAAGTAAAGTTCTGCTTTTCAGATTGGTGGAAAGCACTTAAAACTTGTAGGGACGATCACGCACACAGCTCTCCACTGAGCTTGTTCCCCACTGGCTGGCATCTGGTGGCATCCTGATTTTTAATCTGAGAAATCGTGTGACGAAACGGATAAAAAAAAAACAGTCTTGCACCTCGATTGCAGCTCGACTCCGTTCAAGCCACGGATCCTTATGCTGCAGCTGAACCTTCCAACTCGTTCATCACACATTGTTATACCCCTTATTTTATCGTCTTGTCTGATACCTGTATGCAGAACTTCCAATACCAAAATAAATAACAGAAGGGACAAGGGGCATTCTCTTGTACCCTTTTGAATTTCACATGAATTGGTTATGACAATTTTTGCTTTCTGTGACGTGTAGATTCCTTTTAATTCCCTGGATAAAATTTTCTCCAAATGGGCTTATTTTGTGTGTGTGTGTGTGTGTGTGTGTGTGTGTGTGTGTGTGTGTGTGTGTATAGATAGATAGATAGATAGATAGATAG